GAAGTAAGTGCTGGGACCCAGGCTCAATAGATTTTAGACCAAAAATTAACAAATAGTCTGTAACAATAGAGTCAACACTCTCAGTCATAGAAAGCAATAGAACACGGTGGCTAAGAGGACAGATAATATCTACTTGGGTCAGATAGATGGCTCTACCACTTCCCAGCTAGGTGGCTTGGGTATTAATGTCCACTTCCTCTCTGCAGTGGGAATATTAATAGCACTCCCACAATAAAGTATTATAAAGATTAAATGAAAAACTCCCTATAACACTCTATAAGCCTGATATATAAAAATGGATATTACATGTTAGCTATGAATGTTATGTCGCCAGTAAAATAGTGAAGTATCTAATGAACGCAGGTTGAAGAGATGAATGATAAACTGGGCAGACTTGGTTAAAAAAATCCTAAGTTGTTTGACTTGCTTATCAGAGGTTTTGTAGCCACTGTTTTGCTCTTGTACACTGGTGCAGTTTTTGATAACTAGATGTGTGTGTTAGATAGAGAAACAATTCTGCTACTCATACTTGTTATAATGATAATAAATCATACATTTTCAGTTCATTTAGTAAACATCACAACTATAATTCTGAGAATGACTTGGACTCGGAAAAGTCTAATGAAGGATTTAACTATATTTTAAAAGCAATTGTACATGCAGTATAGTCACAGTTGTGCTATTTAAGTGATCCATGTGAATGAATGCATTTGTGCTAGGTCTAATTCTGACTACTTATTGTCACATAAAGCTCTTGTTAAAGGAAGCTGGCATAACTTCTTGCATGATTTTCTGCCCCCGAATCCCTCTGCTCAATGGTAGTGTCGGCATGATCTCCATCTGTATTTTGGTTCATGCCTTTCCTAGATCAGATAAATGTCCTGCTTGCTGCCTGAATTTAAAAAAGAATGCTAAAATTTTAGCATGTTTTAGGCTTTTATTACAGAGGCTTATTTCAATGTTCTGGAATATTCTACACCCCTGGTTCTTAAACTTGAGCTGCAACAGCATCTCCTGTTCATCACTTTTTTCACACAGACTATAGGGAAGGGGAGCCTCCAGGAGTTTCTGATTTTGTAGGCCTAGAGGGGAATCTAAGAAATTAGCATTCTAACCAGTTTGCAGGTGATGGTGATGCTGTTTTTGTAAAGATCACACATTGAAAGCCACTGTGTTACATAGGAAATGTGAGCCATTCACCCTGGGAAACCTATTTCTCCACTGTCTACGGCACTGTGATTATCTCAGCAGTTCTGCTAGTGATAAAATCTGCTTATGAAATATGCAAAACTTGTGAATTCTAAGTTCACAAATCAAAACACGAGTTTATTTTCATTTCCCACCAATTTTTTAAAAGTCATTCAGAGGAATGTACTATATTTCTAAATGAAACTCTGGCACATCTCTGCTCTTTCCATTAACTTTAACTAAGAGACGAGTAAAAATGCATTTTACTTCTTTGTTTTTGTAACCAAAAGGTTGAGTCAAGGATACAATTCAAAACCTTGAACATAATTTAATAGAAACTCTTCCACATCCCAAGCTTTGGCTTGCTTTAAGTAGCAAGTCTGTGAATGTGATAAATTCTCCTTGTTTCTTGTCTGGTACTTTTCTTTTCCCCCCACCAGCTGCTATTTGGAATTCCAGGCTGAGGAACGGAATACAAAGAAAGGGGATAATAGCAGTTAAGAGAACAGGGTTGCTCTTTCTTCAACTGCCACCTTTATCAGCAGGCTTTGTGCCCTTAGAATAAGAAAATGTTGGAACTACTATATAACACTTTCACTAACTCATTGGAGGCTTTGCTTTGCTTCTACTCTTTCATGCTTTCCTTGACCGGGATGAATATTTCTCGATTATAGAGAGTTTTATGGGATCCCTTCCCTAGCTTTTGTCAGGAATTGGCCAGTTGGTCTCTCTCTTTCCTACTGGAGATTCTGACTCCAGAGGAAGCCATGTTGGAAAGCAGTTTCCCTCTATGCCATATCCCTCTTCCCCAGTTCAACTCTCTTCTTGATCAGAGAGAATTAATGCATACCCCACCCCCGATTCTGAGAGTCCATTACAATCCCACCCAAGTGGCCCTTCCTCTGGTAACACGAAGGCTGCTAGTTAATTAGCTCTCCGTTGATGAGTTTCCCTGGGGAGCAAAGGTGATGGAAAATGCCAGTCGACTAATTCTCTACCTGAAAAAGACTGAATATTAACTTTTCCAAATAGCATCACAGAAAATTATTTCTCCAGGCAGTAGTGTGGTTTATCCTTCCCCTTAGGAGGCAATGTGCCGGCAGTAGAGGAACAATTCTTTGTAAAGGAATCTCATTGTAAATCTTGCTCAGTGTTCCTTGATCTGGCTGAGAGGTCCAGGAGTAATAGAACTTGTTTTCAGAATTCTTCTATAAATTCTTCAAGAGCTAATTTGGAAACCTGCCTTGTAATTTCACATTTATTGAAATGCTGATGCCTTGTTGAAATTTAATTTAAAAATTTGTTCCTGGAGTTCAGTCTACCCACCCAAAATACATTTTCCCACATGTAGTTACACGAGCTCATTATGAATCAATTTAACCAAACTCAACAGGATTCAATTGAATCTAATTATTAAGTTTATTGCAGGAATCTGTGCTAACACTGGTGCTTTCAAAATACATTTACCCTCACACTAAGGTGCTCACAGGAAAGACAGTCATGAAAGGAGAAAAAAAAAAGGGAGGGGGAGCAACAAAGAAGAGTTTTCCCAGAGGAAAAATAGTTTGACCCTCTCTATGACAGAAAATGGAAGATGGATTGACAGCCAAGTTGAGTTGTGAAGATGGAAGGGACCTCATCAAAGAGAAAGGTGAAGGTATGTGATGATGAGAAAGCTAGGATTCAGTATCTCCAAGCTTCAGTCCACAGATTTGCAAAATAATAGTACTCACCTTAGAAGACTAAGGATTACAAAATCTGTGCAAGATACTTAGCATTATACTTTTTGATTAAATCTGTTTCTTTAAGAAACAGTCACAAAGACAAAATTATATACACAAGGATCCTATTAGGGGAAGTGCTTTAGTTGGAAGAGTTCCAGATTTCCATGTAGTTGAAAGGCCATAGAAGAGTCCTTGAGTCATAGATGGCTGTCAGAATTCTGGGTGCACAATGTACATCCCTCCCTTAGTATGGCTGCAACTGTGGGTGCAGTCCGTGGGACCAGTGCTCTCAGGGCTATGGGTTTCATAGTGCAATAGCTGGGGTGCTACACATGGGGGACCTATACTTGAAGGTCTATGAGATGCATTTTCATAGCCATCACATCAGGTGTATAAACGGTGCTTATTATGTTATTTATACTTCAGGATATAGAAAATACATAAGCCAGGTACAGACTGGCAATAAAATGCTGGTGTGTTTCAAAAGATAACTTTGGTAATTTAAAGTGAATGTTCAGGAAGAATGGATAATTGAGAGATAGCAGGAACCAGATCCTTTGCATTAGTTAGTATAAGTCGAACTTCTTTAACAACTACATTCTAGTTTTGTAAAAGCTACGTGCATAGCTTAAAGCTCAGTGATAATTTAAGTTTATTTCTTGTGCATGCAGCTATTCACGAAAGGTTTTCCTGATCAGCAGGCAGCTTGCCTCTGTTATTCAGTATCCCAGGGTCTCTTCCATCTGATAGCTTTTCCATTGTCAAGCCCTGTGTTCCTTATCCAGCCATTGAAGGGGAAAGAAAGCAAGAAAGAGGCTTTGAACTTCAGAGACACCTGTTATTTTTTCTTACTTTCCATCCACCAGACAGAGTTACTGGTCCATACCAAGATATAAGGCAATCCCCAAAATCAATTTCCTTTTAGACATCTGCTTCTGAGTTAAAACTCTATACTAATGAAAATAAGAATATATTCTGGTGATGAGTTAGCCACTCTCATTATTTCATAATGTTAATCCTGATATATCAACCTGGTTGGACTAAGAAATACCTAGCAGATCAGGAGAGCACAGTCCCGGGTAAGTCGGTGGATCATGATGGTGCAGCCTTGGGTAGTATATATGGTCCCTAGCCTGCTCCTCTTTGGTATTATTCCTCTGCTTTGTTCCTTGGCTAACTCTAAGCAGCTTTGCCAGGATGCTCTTGCCTTGGAGCCAGACGACTATGACTGAATCGCCCCAAAACATGAGCCAGATTAAAGCACTCTTCCTTTAAGTTGTGGGCTCAGAGTGTCGTGTTTGAGTGACAGGACAGCAGATTGACTTCAGTGATGTCATCACTCGCCTTCACTCCTAAGGTGCTTAGGTGAGTTGTAGTTGCTGGGAAGCCACCAAAAAATGGAAGCAGTAGGATGTGTCTGATATTTGTATTGCAAAGGTCATGAAGGCACCATATAGCTGACAGTGCTCTAGGTACGATACCTGTATTCATACAAACTACATGTGGTAGTTACTATAACTATACTATAACTGCTGATGAGAAAATGAAGCCTGCCAGGTTGAGGTGAGTGTTCCATGGCTACACAGCCATTGTATGGCAAATATAGGATCCTTACCTAGCCAATCTGATCCTTGAGTCTGTGTTCTTCACCATTATAACAAAGTACCCAGTGAAATGTGTGTGATATTCAAGAATCTTGCTGATTTCTTCATGTTTTATAAGGTAATGAGATATACGATGAGCCATATGCTATTAATGATGAATTTAAACCAGGTGGCTGCAGCTAAATGATATTTCCAAACACCCATGTTCTGAGCAGCTTTAATCCTTCCTGAAACTATGCCTTAGCTCATTCGCAGACTAGATGCCTACTCCCATATCAGCTAGACTGAAACAGGATAAAAATGGTTCTTCTGACTGCCAGTGGATAGCATGCAGTGTGAAATAAGGTGCTGAAAACCACAGCTAATAAGCTCAACGTGTGTGTGAATCTAAAGAATCGGAGGAGCAGTGAACAGTCTATTTTCATGGAAGGATGATACTTTCTAAGAAGCCTTTCACTGACTGCTGCTTTCCCTTCTGATGTAGCCCTGAAATGACATTCCCAGGCTGTGGACCATTCTCTGCTGCTGCTCCCCAAGGACAAGAAAGGAATGACACTAATTAAGAGGTGTGAAGATGTGCATGCCATTTGTCCTGCCCTGTGCTCCTTCCCCAGTGTGACTGTGAGCTTTGACACCTGAGAGAGAGGGAGAGGGAGGGAATCTTTTAATTAGCTTCCTTCACCAGCAAATATTTCAGAATGTTGGGATGAGTCAGGGGTGACTTTGTTTTCTAATATTCTTTAAACACAAAGGAACTTCAAATTCTGTTGCTAAATTTTTTCTTGTGTTTGGCACTATATTTGGGTGTCCAAATAAGTGTAACAGGGTGAAAAATAACACTGAGTGGCTGGCAACAGAGTTTCTCTTAGGGAGAGAATAAAATGAATTTAGACAACTGCCTGGATAAAACATTCAGGATGCAGAAGATGGAGCCTTGGGAAAATGACTAAGAGAGCAGCAGTATTATCAAGAAAAAAGCTTTCATGTAAATATTTTACATAAGAAATAAACAGGAATTTGGAAAAGGGCAGAAGCGTGGGAGAGAGAAAAGCAGGCAATATGGTGGGAGGACAAGCTGGAAGAAAGATGGTACCAACTAGAGGCTGTATGTCCTTGCGTTCAATTTTAATCCTCCTTCCCCCCTCTTTCTCTCTCTGAACAAAATGATGTATTTCAGAAATAGGAGAGCAAGAGAAAATGAGACCAACAATAAAGCCAAAGGTCTTTATTTCAGAGAAGCCTCTCAAGTTTTCTGCAATGTGTGACACGAGTCTTGAGTCGATTTCCTTTCAATCCGGAAGAACGGCCTCAGCAGACACCTGACTGCCACAAAAAAGCGAAGCAAAGCAAACTACAGGGCATTCTGGTGGTCATATACAGGAAAGCTCTGAGGTGAAATGGCGCATCGGGTGGTGGGTCAAAACAGAAATACTTGCCATCTGCGGGCCCTCTGTCTCCATGGTTTCATACGTGATCACGCTTAACCCCATTTCTTAGAGTAACGTGCACGATGCCACGAAGGATAGAATCCAGGTTCTGGGCCAGACACAGATGAGGTGGAAAACTTTCTTTTTCATGTGTGAACGGTTAGATTATTTTGCCTCAGTTTTTTTTTTCACAGCACTTGTTTATTTATTTATTTATTTATGTTGGTACTGGGGATCGAACTTGGGACCTTGTGCTTGTGAGGGGCAGGCAGTGGCACTACTGACCTAAATCCCCTGCCCGTCACAGCACTTATTATTATTTTTTTTTCAAAGCACTTATTATGTTCAATTACTTTTGTTGGTTTCTCTCTTGATTATCTGTTTATTCAATAGAGACCAGGCTGCAAAGCTCATGGGAGAGTAACAGTGTCTGGTTTGCTATTACTGCACCCCTACTGCTTGACCCATGGGCCCTTAATATGCATATCTTGAATGAATGCATTAATGCTTTATTAATCTTCTCTTTATAAACCTGAAAGAAATGGGGGTGGGAATAACATCTCTCACACTATCAATTATTAGGATAACACAGGCATTGAGATGTATATTATCAACAAATATGGTGAATGTTTAAATCAAAAATTATTATAGTAGCAGACATATTTTCACTAACCTTCCTCAAAATACTCTCCTTGGCTTTGAAAAGACGTATCCCATTGCTCTTGCTACTTTCTGAAACAGTTCTGAGAGTCCTCTTTTGTGAGTGTCTTTAATTGGGTCGGCATATCTGCCATCATGTCCTGATTACAAACCTTTCCCTTTTATTGTCATTTTGACTTTGGGGAAGAGCCAGAAACTGAATGGTGCCAGGTCTAGAGAATAAGGTGTACAGGACGCACTGTAATGTTCTTACGAGTCCACCTTTCTATTGGATGGTGGTTGGCAGCAGCATTTACCATATTTTTTATCATACCGCACAAAGGGACTAATTTGGCTTTTAATTACAAGATGCTTCCCTGCATGTTTTTGACATGAGAAGATCTGTAAGTGAACACTCTTATTTTTAAAAAATGATAGTTACCAAAGGAGAAAGCAGTTGGCAAAATGCTTAGAGCAGAAAATGAAAGACAAAGCTAGAATATATTCTTGGAATGATCAAGAGGACAAAGTTACTTGGAGAAGAAATGGGAACAATTCACACTGTCAGAAACGGGGAAGGAAAAGGGACAGACATCACAAAAATCTACGAGTGACTAGGAGGACATGGAACTCCCTGTGTGCTCATGGTACTTGGCTTTTGAACTGTAGGTCCCAATTTAAAATTCACACATGGGAAGATATTCAGTTTTTTCTTATCAGGAAAACAATTGTTAATAGAAGCAAACCTGATCTTTTTTAAGAGTCTAAGTCTAATGGCAAGAAATATAAGGAAACTGGCTCCTGAGTGGTATGAAGGAAGAGGATTCACCTAAAATTTTGTGGGAGAGAATCAAATGTTTCCAGAGTTGGGAGAACAAGCGGTCAATGCAGCAGACATTGGGACTGCCTTTTCTGACCTTCATTTTAGGTTATGTATATTAAAAATATTTTAATTTAATTAATTTTAATTTTAATTGTTTTAATAAGCTATAGAATTATGTATGCATATTTTTGTTTGAAAGAAATTCTAAGCAGGCAATCTTGGACCTGAGGTTTAGTTCTGTCTTTATAATAGAACATGATTTAGGCCAATCCTAAGACCCTCTCAGCATCCTCATTATCTCATATGTAAAATGAAACATTACTGTAGTAAATTTAAAAAATATATTTTAGTGAGTCTTGAGATTTTCATTCTGCCTTTTCCAATTACGGGATTTTATCTCTTTGTTTCCCACGTTCCTTCTTTGTTTTTAGGGGTGTGTAATCAGAAGCAAACTGGTCCATGGTCTAATGTCACTCCTCATGGCCAGTCTTGGGGAGGTGATACGTATTGACACAATTAAATGCTCACTGGGTGGCCACAGTCGGCCCACTTGTCATCACAGTTGACAAGTGACAAGTTTCAATCTAGAAATGAATAGTCACCTTCATGTGGAGACTCGGTAGCTGGAGATGACGGATGAGCATCTGTGTGGTTCCTGAAATCGTCAGCAATGCAGAGAACTTGACCTCGACTCACTAGGCTCTGACTGTGTGACTGACACTGCCAGCTAGGAAAACCTCTTAGATCCTCCCCTTCTTGTCCTATAAAGCTTGATAGCTTATTTAACTCAGCTCCAGAATCATCATACCTGATCAATTTGTTGCTCTCTTCTCAAGAGCTTAGTTTTCAAACATTTCTTGGAGGTGTGGGGAAATAATGAGACTTTTCTTCTTCCAAGAAAAGGAAAAAAGCAAAACACTTACTCATCTGTATTAAGGCTGTCTGAACTGGCAACCATTTCCAGGCAAGACCAGATCATCTTTAAGGTCTTTTCTAGCTCTAACATACTGTTAAATTGAAGCCAAGAGCAACAGAATATTGCTTGATTTTTTTACCCTAGGAACACTAATTACACTGAGAAAACTCAAGGCCCTTTAGTACTTAAATCTATTAAAACATTCAGACTTTTAAGACACGGAGGGGAGTGAATGGCACCATAATCTTCACAATCGCGCCTTAGTGGATTTATGACATCAAACTTACTGCACATTACTGAGAAAGATGGGCATGGTCTTAGAAAGCCAGTATCTAAAGGTATTGCTTATGAATTTGATAGTTATTTAAGTTTAATTAGCATGCTGATTCTTTACCAATAGAGGTCCCAGGAATTGTTAGAAAGAATTTTTCACAGCGAAGTGGGGTGGGAGAAAATGACAGTGAAAACACAATCAGATGTTTCACAACTTGAGAGTCATAAGCAAACATCTGAGACCTTTGGCCGATATAGACTGACATTTTCCTTCATAGCTTGGTCTGTTTAATCAGTTTTCACGATGCTGCCGGAATCATGACAAGTATTGCCATTCTAAGTTTGTTCAGCCAACTAAAGTATTCCACTACCATCTGTGGGCCATTCTAAGGTGCCAGGATTCCTAGGTTAGAATCTAGGGCATGGTACTTGACCTGATGCTTTATGCAGAGGTTTAAAAGGGAGCTTAGTTTTTCATTAAATAATTCATATTTCCATTAATTCATTAATCCTAGCCAGCTGTCTATTATTAGTTACTGTGCATTATGCATTAAGCGCTATGATAGGCAACAAGAGTCTTAAATATTTCTATTTGTAAAGAAAGGTCAAGAAACAAGAAAGAAACACTTATTTCATTTTATTGTCCACTTGCTGAGCTACTAAGGGTGTGTGGCTGTTTTAGATTTTTTTTTTTTTTTTTTGAGGAGAAATAGCTGCTGTGAGCAATAATCTGGGGACTAGATTGCTCTTTCTATATCAATGGAACATAAAAAGCTCTTAAAGCTGTTCTTGGGAAGAAGCAGGAGGCCCTAGAGAACAGGAGGACTCCTCAATTTCTTTTTTAGGCTCTCGGAAACCAACATTTGGGCACCACATGGGGCAAACATCTCTTGGGACTCCCCTCTGCTAGTATTCTCTCACTACATATTCTTAAAGGATTTAGACGTTGCTCTAATACAATGAAAATTTGATTAATAATCTAAACACATACTCCCTCCAAGGGAGGCACTCAGATGAGGCTATCTAAGTATGACTGTCTCAAATCAAAGCAATTAACCTAGAAAGCAACACATTCAGTACTTCAGTCTCTGGTCTATCTTCACACACAGGAGGAATTCTTGAAGTTTATATTTTTTTATCCAAGTATTGTACATTCTCATTTCTCTTCCTCAAAGGTCAGATAGTCCTTTGCTGACCTGGTGGGAGAGGTCTTGACAGCTATATTCATGGACTTCTTGAATGTATTTTTTTGTGAGCGGACTTAGAAAAAGTAAAATACCATGCAAATTCTAACTCCATGGTTAGCAAAAGTTCATGTGCTTATCTGAAAAGGAGACTAACAGGACCTCGTAGGACAGTTGTCAGGAGTCTGTGTAATATTGTGAACGTGATAACTTAAAGGCTTGGCACATAAGCCTATTCAACAGCCAATATGGCCTCCCCTCTATTTGTGTCAAGGAGAGACCTTTAAGACTAGTTCTGTACCGTTAGATTAGTCAGTACCTTTTAGACTCTAGGAAAGGCCAGTAATAGTTACCTGAATTCATCCTGGGAGATGTAATGATTATTAGATATTTACCGGACAAATAAGAGGAGGAAGAAGACTTAGACGATACTGGCTTTCCGTAGGTAGACGGCTGCCGACCTGAGGGAGCGTCCCTGGGAACTTGCTTTTCGTAGCAGACACCTTCATCCAGGCTATAGTGGCACAAACATCTTGCCCCTCCATCATTTGGCTGCGTTACATGGGAAGGAGTAGAGTTTGGCTGAGTTCACTCCCAGTTAAGGTCAAGTGACTCCAGCTAAATTCCTCCCCTCTGAATTAACCATTGATTCTCTTCAGCAAGGATATGCTTGTGTCCTCATTCTACAGTCCTGCCTGTTTGATACTTGTTATCAGCAGGGGTTCCAAGGCCTGCCCAGCTTCCCTCCTTCCCACTCTTTAATGAATAAACCCTGGATGTCCTGGGAGTCCTTTGTCTTTGCTGCCCAGAGAGGCTTAGATCAGCCCAAAGCAGTTTCTCTAAACTCTGTCTCTGTGTTTCTTTTAATTACACTTTCCTACCTCACAGACATTGTACTGGCTTGCAGGAGGCCAGGACCACCGCACAGGTCTCTGGCAACTCCCATTACCCTTTCTCTATAGCTGTTTTATAAAAGTACGGGTAATGCTGTC